TTCTTCATCATCTCCTCCAAGGCCATGAATTTCCCTTCCACATTCTCGCTAAATGTGGCCATCTTCTCCTCCAGATCCGCCTTAAGTTGACCCATCTCGGTCTCCAAGACTTCTACCCGCTTAGATGCCATGGGAACCAAAGAGATGCCCCCGGAACGCAAGGAAACTCTTCCGGACAGCAAGAATCTCCCTCCAAACAGTCAAAATCTGCTGTTTTACTCAACTGCTGCTCTCAAAAACCCTAAAAACTGCTGTTTTCAGGGGAAAACAGCCTCCGACAACCCAAAATCTGCGAAAATCTGCAGCGAAACAGTGGAAAAAACAGCCCTCCACCGTCCGGATCTCGCTCTAATACCAATTTGATAGGTACCACTTGAATATTTCAAGTGATTCCTATCGCATATAAACCAAATCACCAATAACCTGCTGTTTTCTATGGGAAAACAGCCACCAAACACCAAAAACAGCGAACAAACGTGAAGAAAACTGAGAGAGATTGAGGGAAATTGTTGTAGATTGCAAAAACAACGAACCGATACAATGATCCTCTATTCGAGAGGAGGATCCACTCTCCCAACGCTCTCTAGATGAAAATCTAGAGCCCAACAACCTCTCCTCGTAGCCTTTCTTTAGAACACAAACAATAATCCAGATGAAAACCTAAAACCTAAGTTAATTCCCTCTTAATACAATCTAATTCAAAACAAAAGCAAAAGGACATCTCTACCCTTCATTCTCCCTCCAAAAACACTTAAATTTCATTTGAATTGCTCGTGGACCCCACCCCAAGCCCCTTCTTTTCTTCCTCCGGCTCCCTGTTCCGCTTCCGCCTGGAGAAGACCCGGACCGGCTGGGCTGGTCCAGGTTGGGCCGGTCCAACCTGGACCGGCCTAACAGAAGACTACAGGATTATGTGACAACTATGAAACCCCATGTTGCACGAAATCAATGGGCCTTACAGGTTCCTCACAACAGCAAATAAAGTTTGGAAAGCTATGAGAAAACATACTCAAAGGTCAAGAATGTTGCTCTTAACTATGAGATCAAGGATAAAATGCAATGAAATTTTTATAGTTGAATTGCACTACTACCAAGATCTCAAGATTAAATTCAGTGATGATGATTTGGCTCTAAAATAATATATACAGAGAGATAATATTTAAGTTTCTTGCAGGCCTCAACATAAACTTTGATTAAATTCACATCCAAAACTTGGGCAAGGGGATCATGCCCTCTCTTAGGGAAGTATTTTCCCTCGTACAAGTTTCTGAAGGAAGAACCATAATATAGAAACACCTAATTCATAAGGATTAACTAATGGCAACCATAAAAACTAAAAGGTAGATGAGTGATTGTTAATGATCATTCAAAAAATTAAGGATAACAATTCCACCAAAAAGACCACTTATAGTAAAACTAATAGAAGAAGGGGCGGAGTGCAGAACAGAAAACTTATGAAAATTGCATGGAATACTTCAAGTCCTTGATGGATATAAAGAAAGCCAATCTAAAAGAACATGCGTAGTTCACAAAGATTGTATGATTCAACCATGGAGAAATTGACAAGTTAAGGAACCTTCTCAATTCTCCAAAAAAGCCATCCAAGTTATGCTTTCTAGTTCAAAAAGGGTAAGATTCTAATCTTCATATTTTTAATGTCTAAAATAGTTCCTATACCTGGGGCAGAGAAAAATGGGCTTGCTCAAAATGAAAAAAAGAGAGATCCATGGATGTTCAAGGCGGATGAGAAGACTTTGCTACAATCAAATTCACTCAATCAAAAGACTAAGAGGTAGATAATTGAACGAAAAGAAAATAGTAAAGAGCAAAAAATTAACTGGACAATTTTAGAATGATTCGATCATCTCAACCTACGTCCGCTATAGCAAGGCATTGGCTAGAGCTTTTCTTACTATCACTTTTGTGTTACATGAGTGATGTATTATAAGAAAGAGAGAGATAAGAGATGATAGAAGAGAGACATGGAACAGCCGAGAAGAAGGGAAGTGATGCTAGAGGCCTTCCAAGTTGAATGTTCTCAAGAAGCTCTAGCATGCTCTGTGTCCAGCCAACCCTTGACCAAACCAACCCCTTGATCATGGTTTGCCCATGGATTTTTATAGAAACAATTATGTCATTAATGCAGGTTAGTGTAGCAGTGGCATTGGTCTTAGTGCTGTAATCAAAATCTAGAAGCTATGAAAATCCCAACTAGTGGTTCTCACTTGCAATTTTGCTCCTATTCTCTATCCCAAATATCTTCCATTTATCTTTTCTTAACTTCATTTTTTGTTCATAGTTGAAATCATTCTCATCGTACCCTCTCTTCTCCATCATAGACATTGGAGTTGATCCCTATTATCGTCGATCATTGTTGTTCGCTTGAGCCATTGCATTGGGTGATCCTTTGTTAAGTCACCATCAAATCCCTTTGTCGTCTTCTTACCATTTAATCAAATGTAGTAGCTAGGTATTTTTTTAGGTTGATTGAAATTTATTAAAGTCAAATAAGCGAGTAAATCTTTTAATTTAGTTATCATTATGGGCTTAATTACACGTTAAGTTAATTCTGGGTTGATTTTTTCCGCCTAAAATTAGTTTAATTTGAGTTTCTTGCATAGTGGTTTAACCTAAGATAATTAGTGCTAAAATCATGAATTTGGATTGAATTTAGTTTCCTAATTTCTACATATTTTTTTGCTTAATTAGCTAACTATTATAGTTTAAAACATATATGCATATGCGTGGATTTTTAAAGTTCCTGTTTTGGGTTTTCGAATTAGTTCAATGTGTTAGAGAAGCATTATATCAAATATTAATGTTTAAGACGAGTGATTTTTATTTGTTAAAGGATAAATGTAACAGTTAATTTTGTTTGCCTAAAAATAGTCTAATTTGAGTTTCTTACATAGTTATTTAACCTAAGATAATTAGTGCTAAAATCATGGATTTGGATTGAACTTAGTTTCCCTATTTCTATATATTTTGGCTTAAGTAGCTGACTATTAAAGTTTAAAACATACATGGGTATGGGTGGATATTTAAAGTTCCTGTTTTGAGTTTTCGAGTTAGTTCAAATATTACTATTTAAGATAGGTGATTTTTATTTGTTAAAGGATAAATGTACCAGTCTTATTAGAGTCATTTTTTCCTTGAAATCTTTTTTATGTTTCAATTATGTTAAATAAAAATTTGACTTTGGTTTATTTATATGTAGTTATTCTCTCATTCATATTGTTAATGGTTATATGATGCACATTTCTCATCTCTTAGATGATTGCCACATAAATCAAATACCCAAGAAAAGAATCATGTGATAATCTAATAATGCCTTTGTTGTTATGCGAGTAAATCTTGCTCATGTTGACATAGACTATCGTAATTATTGTGTCTTGTTCATGGCAAAAATATTTATATATATTATGTTGGTTTCTTGATTAAATGATCATTAATTGTACCATCTTGATTGATATCCTACTTGATAACCTAGTACATGGACTTGATATGCAAAGTGAGAACTCTTTTGATATGGATTAATAGATCCCCAAATGTTAGTAATGACCTTCAGTTTATTCAAAGTATTATAAGAGACTAACAGGTATTACATCGAATGAATGATGGGACTTTCTAGAGCCGTTTCTATATATAAATAATTATAGTGTAAATGCTCGTGATTACTTTAGCACTTAATTGCATTGATTGTCATTTTTAACATATTATGGACTCCAAAACATAATTAATTGTCATTGTTTAATAGTTATTTCTAGTAGTCCTTGCTAAATAAAATTGATCTAATTTAGTTAGTAATCATAACAATTGTGATATACTATGCCTTAAACAACGTGACATTTAATTGTTTATTATATTGCATGTCACATTCCTTGTGGTTGATCACTTAATCAATTGAAGTTATCTAGAGTTTGACTTGTAAACTCATCCAATGAAATTATTGCAAATTCTCTTTTGGGTCGGAGATTAGCTATTTATATAGGAGTTATTTTATTTTAGATAATTGTGTTAGATTTTATGTAGTTTCTCAGTTGTAGTTTGTTTCCTTTCTTTTCATTGGTGAGGTGTTTCAGTTTCCTATGATTTAATGTTTCTATTGCTTTAATTAAAAATTACATTGCAAATCTCTACTGATCGTTGAGTTGTCTATATAAATTTCTTTCTTTATGACAAAATAACTTCACTTAGCCTGAAATTTTGTAGTTTATCTAATAAGTTAAGATTAAGTTCATTATATCTCATGTTATTGAGGTATACCATTTTTTTAGACGCAATAAGTGAATGAAAGAGAACCTTAGATCAAGATGTGCTAATGATTACAAAAAAATTATACTATTTTGCCATATGGAAATCAATGGACCCTTTCCAGCCTTTTTCTTAGAGCGATATTATTATTAAAAAAATGCTTGAGAGACAATAGGTAGAACCACACGTTTTTTCCAACCAAGGTATCTATTATTAATCGTGTTAACTTGTGGTTTATTCAAATGCATAATTAAATGTACAAATAAAGATCTAAAGCTAGCAAATAAAATTAAAGAATTCATAAACACCATGCACCTGACTTACCATTATAACGTGTCCTCGATGATGGAAGTCAGAGGTCCTTGGCTTTCTTCTCAACATCTTCTAGTTGCTTAATTTGCTTGTGATACTTGCAAATATGATGCATGCACCTGTAATATCACAGTAGAAAAGGAGAATCAATTAGCATATAATCCATTAAATTCATCCAGAGATAAAAAGAAGCTTTACACGTGGGAATAAAACTGTACCAATAAAGGAAACATACTGAAACACATAAAATGACATTCCTTTGAGCTTTATAAACCTGCAAAGCAGGCATTAGCATTGTTACTACAACTATACAATAAAAGAAAATATTTTATGCTACAAACTCTCAAATACTAACAAGCAGCGGATACAACAACTGGATATTAATTTGTTTATTATTGCACTATCAGCCAGTTTTACTAGCCTTGAGTTCAGACAAAAAAGCGGGAGAACACAAAGAAAAGAGTAAAAAATGCAATATGACTAGTGTAACTGAAATTGAAAATAACCTTTAGCAAAAGCAAGCAAACGGATCCAATCAAAACAAATGGAAATAAATGTTTTTTAAGAGATATCAGCAAGAACCAACAGTCCATTAAGTTATTAAACACGTGAAAATTCAGTACAAGGTGCTAAAATGAAGCAGCACTTTCTGTAACGTAGATACAAAGCAGGCAATATACAACTCTGCATTACAACATCACTGCCACTATATGATTCGAGAAAACGCGTACCATGCTCAGCCAAACTTTTTTGTTTTGGTGGGAATGAATCATTGTTTGAAGAGAACACCAACACATAAATGTCAAAGTGAATTCATCTCAAAGAATTGGTAACCATTTCTTTAAAGCTTTGATTGACTGAGGAAAACTCAATTCTGACTGCTCTTGAAACCTCACCTAACTTTGTGCGTGTGGGTGTGCAGTTGGGTGAGTTGGATTGGGCAGTGCCAATCAAATTCTTGATTCTGAACCACTTCACCAGCTACACTACAAAAAAAATATTGGTTTTGTAGCTCAAACCTGCACTGCTCAATTTTATCTAACAATCCATCATCTTGTGATGCTTCTCACAACTTCCTCCTTTTGCTTTCTTTCAAAGTTCTATCTTCAACTTAAGTTCAATTTTGCAAAAGGCATCCATTTATTTAAGCTACTTCAAAATCTTTTGGAATATTCATTATTCATGTATTTGCGCGTAATGGATAAGTTTGGCTTGCCAGCGTAAAAATTGTCGAATAATCTTGACATGAATCATTTATGGTGAAAAAGGATTCAAGTAGCAGACCCCACATAGTGGGACAAAGGCTTGATGTTGTTGTTGTGTTGGATAAGTTTGGTTTGCCTAAACCGAACTTCTCAAAGTTTCATTGAATTCTTCCCAGCGAGATATTTCTCACTCTGCATTTTGCTACTTCAAATATTACAACTCAAATTTAAGCATTCAAGCGGTTTAGATATAATTTATGCAGGTCTATGTGGTTTTAATATTATAGCTCACTTCTGGTACTTGAAGTAAAACATGTAAATTGCTAGCCAATAATATAATTATCTACAAAATCTTGAGTTTTTACTATTTATTAAGGGGAAAACCACATCCAAGATTTAAGTTGAATCTGAATTCCATAAGCAACAAAAAAAAAACAAAACAGGGGAAAACATATTGACACGCTTAATACGCATCCGAGTAACATCTGAGGTGTTTCACTTTGTTTCTGTTACATCAATCCCCCTGAATATGCAAGATTAAAAGCCATAAGACAGATAAGCAGTCAATGGGATACAACACACTAAATAGCTTTCCATGTATAATTACTGAGAATAGACTAACATGACTGAATTTAAATGGTAAACAAGATAGACATACTTGATAAGAACAAAGCAGGCCTAGGTTCATCAAGATATATGGAACCAGTCCAGCTCATTTGTCATATTTTGCCGATCTAGAATAATATACACATGGTCAAACAGGAACAAGGCCCCACATGCATGCATATATGTATGCATTAAGGATGAGCTAAGCCATTCCCATTAAGATCTTCTGAGAATTGATAGTTATCCCAGAACATAGACCGCTCACAAAATCCAATCGATAAGTGATAAAAACTAATTGAAGTTTCATTTTTTTAAAATTGTATGGGAAAATAACCATATACATACAAATACACCGATGGTAGAACAAAACATATATAAATGAAAAATTCTGTAAGAATGTGAATTAGTTTCCAATTTCTGGATGAAAAATATTACTTCAGTTCTTGTTATTAATCTTTTAATATACTTGCGAATTTGAGCACTCAAGTCTAAATCAAGTCAGTTATTTTCATCTCCATCACTTGAAATAAGAAGAGATTAAAACCAATTGAATTAAATAATTTTTTTAATTGAATTAAATAATTGTTTGATCATCAATCAAGCAGAATTCCAATACCTTTAATTAATGACTCAAATAATAATTCAACGTTTTACAGGGGCTAACGTTAAAATTCATATTTGAAGAATGCTATGTGCATTCCTAACTTTTTTCTAGCAACACACTGATAGGAAGTAGATGCAACTTCAGTCAAAATCAGCAAACAACAATAAGAAATTAGAAAGAAGAGCACACTGCGGCACTTTTTATTGCAAGATATATGAAAGAAAATAGCAAGATACTGAAGTGCACCGAAGTTTTGGTAAACATATATATGAATTCATCTAGATTGGAAACTTAGGGAGTAATAATCTTCTTGAAATCATTGTGTCTTGAACAAAGCAACAATCAATTTTAATGTGTTTTGTACTTCTATGAAACACATGATAAGTAGTTATATACATGACAACACAACAATCACAGTCTAAAACTATGAGTTGAGCAGTTGGCAAATCAGCATATTCTCGCACATGGAGTGTTCAAAACTCTATTTCGCCTAAGCACATTTTTGTTTGGTTCTTACTCTTCCACATGCCCAAATTGCCTCCTATAAATATAAAGTACTCAAATGTGGTTTTTTAATAATCATTGAAACCAGTATAGTCAACATCACAGAAATTTTTCACATTAAGATGTCCGCTCTTTGTATATATAAGTCATTTTTCTGATGACTTCTTGACACGTGGAATACCTTCTCAATGTTCCTGCTGAAGAGTTTGCAAGCGTTGAATCACAACCTTTACACTAAAGGAAATATATGCTTTACTGATAATAAGATCAACTTTCCAACCAACCAACCACAAATAACAATGGATAGATTCAAACATTTCCTCCTTATTTGTAATCTTCTATGTGCAGATGATTTTCTCAATAAATTCGCTACCTACCATACAAGTACCTTCAAGGAGGTCAATGGCACACTCTCATTAGGAACTCCTTCCCTAAAAGGAAATTTTATTCCATATATATATATATATATATATCACTCCCAATAAGAAAGATTGATGGGGACATCAGTTGGAAAGTCTACCGTCAACGTGGCCGTAGATCTACGGCCACAATTTATCCGATGTACTTTTGATTTTATTATTGTTGTTTTCTTATTGATGTATTTTTATTTCAGCATTTTCCCTTTTTACCCTTGCTTGAGGGATTGAGTCATGTAGCCCCTTGAGGGTATTTGAGTCATTTTGCTTTAAGTCATTGTAAGAGGCTATTTAAAGCTTTTATCTTGTATTTTTGAGGTTAATGAATGATATTATGGAATTTTCCTGCATTTGTCTTCTTGAAGCTTATGTGAGAGCATCAGAGAGAGTTTGAGAGCTTGGTGGAGCCTAAGAGGCCACCCGTCGTACCCAACAGTCACCACCGGTGGCTCTTGGTTTTCCTCCATTCTTCTTCCCTTCTCTTCCACGTCAGTCACCGGCCTTCCCCACCACCAACCACCACCCCATAACCCCTCCTACCAAAGCTCACCTTAACCCTAACCACCAACCCAATCTTTCTTCTCCATTCGCTCTTCCACCCACTCCACCCAAGCCCAACCACTGTCGGCCCCCTTGTTTGTCTCCATGAATGAGGAGTCAATGCCCCCTTAATGCTTACCTAAAGAGTTCAAACAATTTGGGAAATTATTTTTCATCATTTGAAATTCAAAATTTGAATTTCAAATAGTTTCCTAAATTGGAAAGCAATTTTAGGAAAGTATTGAATCTCCTTCATGATATAATTCAAATTTAATTTGGGTGGAATTTTTCTCCTCCAAAATTAAAGAGACCAATTAGGAAGGGAATTTAAATTGCTCCGCAAAACCCTCTCTCCCTCCCTCTACATGCCGTCGGCCTTCCCCTTGCTTGGGCCCCCTCCATCAAAGCTCAATTAAGGTCATTGATTGTAATTAATTTGAAATCCAAATTCAAATTAATTCCCTCCACTTTTACTCAAAATCTGAATTTATTTTCAGATTTTGAACTTATGTTTTCCTTCTTCTTTAACTTAAGATCTCCAAACCCTAGCCCTTCTCCTCCTCCCTACACCGTCGTCCTCCCTCCTCACCTCCACCTCCCTCCAACTTCTTCTCTCTTGCGTCTCTCCTCACATGATTATGATGCTTGACCGATCCGGAGTTTGATTCCGGCTTTGCATACGACAGCCAAGGCATCGTGGATCTTCTCAAATTGTCGTTCGTCGACGTGAGCCCATGCATTGACGGATCCATAGAAAGTCCGTCGATCACGTGATATTCGATTTGACCAAGCCTTTGGAGGATCAACTATTGGAAGGTACGTGGTGAATCAAGACGTTTCTCCGAGAAGGTGATCTTCTTCCTTGACTCATGTACTTTCAAATTCTACTTACTTCATAGAGAGATTGTTCAAGCAAGAGATTGTGTCTACTTCTCGCCATCCACTAGTAATCGTAGGATTGTTACTTCTTTGCTTTTGGTTCTCATTGTTATGCCAAAGTTATGTTGGAAACTACTCCGCATGCAATGCTTTGATTTCCCTAAATGTTTTGATTTCGCTTAGTCTCTTACGTAGGTTAGCCTAAACGGAAGTGACCACTAATTAATTTTATTTTGTTGTTTTAGTTGCTAATAACGAAAATCCAAAATTGCTCTTTAACTACTTTGTGCAAGTTTCTTATTTCGCATATAGTCCTGCATCAAAGATGTCATACATTAGACTATCGAGATGAAAATAAGATGAATTATGCTTGATGAAGATGGAACGATATGTTGCTACCAAAGGCCAACCTCAACAAAAACTTTACAATATTTATCAAGCAAAACACATGAACTTTGCTTAAATCCATATGAATAATAGGAAAGTGAATGAAGGCAATAGGTAAGATGGAGGTTTCCTAATTTAGTTTTGGATAATAGGAAAGTATTTGAATTCAAATAATTGAACTTTCCTAATTAACTATGGCTTATTTTAGGAAAGTGAATGAAGGCAATAGGGAGATTTGAATTTCAGATTTTGAGGAACAAAGGTGGCCGGCGGCTATGACGTGGGGAGGGGAAGGGCGGTGGAGATGTAGGCCGGTGGCTAGGTGGGAGTAGTGGCCGGCGGTTTGGGCCGGCCAGGGAAGCCGGTCGGATGGGGTTGGGGTTCGGTTCCGAAAATCACAAGGGTGGTGGGGAGGGTAGGCCGACAGGTGGAGGGGGTGGAGGAGGAGGTTGGGTGTAGATGAAAGGAAGGAACTTGCTAAACCACAAACCTCGGAATCCTCCAGAGGTTGACGAGTATTACTCTCACCCTCACCTAGGATTTCTCCCCTCAAGAACTCACAAAGAGATCAAGCAAGAAAACTGGAATTTTCATTCATCATAATCATCCTTTTACAATAAAAGAGGCCACTATCTATAGGCCTAGAAGAAATAAGCAACAATGACTCAAATACCCCTTGGGCTACAACTCAAACAAGCTCAAAAGAAGGAGTACAAACGTAAATGGCATATAAATAAACTATAATACATAAATGCATCAATAATAAAGACTATGAATCGTAGCCATCGATCTATGATTCCTACGCTCAGGGGTGTCAATATTTGGTGGAGTGAAGTGAAGTCGAACAGCAACGTCGTCCGTGCCTCCGTGGAGTGAAGTCGAACAGCAACGTCACCGAAGGAGTGAAGTCGAACAACAACGTCGTCGAACTCTCGTTGTTGCTTTCGATTTAACTTCCGATTCCAACTGTGAGCTCCCCTCGTTGCTCCGTTCTAACTTTCCGATTCCAACTGGAAGAGTGGAAGGGAACGTCGTCGAAGCAAGAAGCAAACTCGAACAGCAATGAAGGACCGGCGACTCCTTCACAATGAGTGACTGTGAGCTCCCCTCGTTGCTTCCAATCAAAATGTTGTAACGTCCGATCCGACCGAAAGGAGCGAAGCAGCGAACAACGCGAACAGGCGGAATAGCAAAGTCGAACATCAACTTGGCGGGTTGGGTTCGGGTTGACCCGAACCCGAAGCGGGACGGGTTCGGGTTCGGGTCCAGGAAACTGACCCGTTTGCAAAAACTGGTCGGGTTCGGGTTGGGTCAAACAATACCGGGTCAGTTCTGGGTTTGACCCGAACCCGACCCGTGACCCGAAATTGACACCCCTACCTACGCTTATAGACTCGTCGATATCGTTTGTCGATGTTTGTGTGTCTGTCTGTCGATGTTTGCCTGTGTGTGTGTTCATCATGATATGACGGGCAAAGAAAAACACACCTACTTAAGTGGCTTAACATAAACTCACAAATCAATTGCTCTTTTTTCACCTAACTAGTATTAGAAAATTAAGAGTGCAAAATCTAGACAGATGTCATATTGTAACTACATAAACTAATAGTACAAAACATAAGAGGTTGTTAAATTTAAATAGCACTGAGATTATATCAATAATCCTCCATAAAAAATAAAAAAATGCATCCTATGTGAAAAAGTTAATCTTACATAACTAAGCTGGGTTAGCAGCCTAATCCCATTGTTATCTTACCCCTAGCTAAATGTAACTGTGACTAAGAGATAAATCTGAATTAAACCATGATTCATAATTCATATGAAGCAAACCACTTGCCCATGAAATTCTAGTCAAGCAATATCAGTAAAGCGATGGTGCCTACAAAAAAAATCATTCCATGATCGGTATAATTTAAAGAGCAACTAATTCATGATTATAGAGAGAATTACTTCTTAAAAAGAAAAATCAACAATCAATCAGTAAAAGGATTGGTACCCAAATAATAATGAAACCATCAATGGTGTACGTTCATGTATATTGCCTAATGTCCCTAATGAGAACATTTATCAAACAATATTAGCAATGATTACTGTTCAACATTGATGAATGCATGATTATTGCAAGTCGCAAGACATTGTGCAAGTATACTATTGGAGCATTTGGCACAACATTTACAAAACATTACGGACTGTTGACGCACATTTATTTGGCTAAAACATTCTTGTTAATTCTTAGAAATTTTTTGCAATAATAAGTTTTTTACAACCAAATATGCTAGAGTGTTATAACCATAAGAACAGTGATATTTCACTTTCTATATTTGAAAAAGCTTATAATACCATAATTGTTTTCAAAAACTTTATTTTCTCCCTAAAAGTTCCGCAACTAATTTTACCACTTCAACCATCCCAAACGAACCCTATGCTAATCCATGATTCTGCATAAGGTTAGTGCCATCCTAATTAATTGAAGATTATACAGATCATTAGCACCTGGCGGGCAAATTGAAGTATTTAACCAAATAATTACTCAGTTTACGGTAACTCACACACCAAAATAAAAGAAGGTTGATTTTAACCTATCTTCCTATCACAAAAGTCTCAATCCTTCTTAATCCACCTTGCTTGATAAAGTTAACACCATAAACTACTTCAAGCCAACTTTATTACTCCAACTCAAATCAAACAAAAGACCTAAAGCAATAACAAAACATTCCACTTAGACACTAACAGCAACCCCAATTCCAAGTAAGTTGCTCTACTCAATCCATAAAAAGAAAACAATAAAAGGCAGACCGAGAGTGCTTACGGATCTTTCATAGTGGACTCTTTCCTCTTCGGTGCACACCTCAGACGAACACTTTAACCGGTGCTCATTCTTCCAGTAAAGATCTACACATCAATCATCAACCAATTAAGGAAAAGAGAGACAGAAGAAGGCCAAATGAGTAAAGGGAGGAAAGAACAGTATACAAAACCTAAGAGGTTGAAGACGGCGAAGGGAATAAGGCTGGCGAAGGGCTGCAGTAGCTTGGAAATTAGGGCAACGATCCGGGACCTGATCGTCTTGGGCCATGGCAGGGTTAGAAGTACAGCGATGGCCGCCTCCGCCGCCACCACGTATTCAAGTATTAACCACTGGAGCGCCATTAAGCTCTCTCGCGCGCTCGCTCTCTTTTCTGTGCTGTTCTGGGTCTGTCACCAATGTTCTTCGATTTCGACGAATCCAAAGCAGAAGCGCCCGACACATAAGTAGTTATTTATTTATTTATTTATTATTTATAGACATTTAGGCCAAACTCATAATGGTTACTTAAATCTCTCAACTAATATGGAATAATTATTACGTACTCCGATCAGAAAAGGAGGAACGACCGGTCGGAGGTCAAATCGCGCCAAAAAATGAGAAATACCGAGCTATACCAAACAATAACGAGGAATACCATCACGTGAAGACCCAATACCGAGTTATACCGAGCTATACCGAGTTGTACCGAGTTTTTTCTTGAAAAAACTCGGTACAACTCGGTATAGCTTGGTATAACTCGGTATTGATCTTCACAGAGCGATATTCCTCGTTATTATCAAATAATACATAGCAATATCGAGCAAATACCGAGTTTTTTTGCGTGATTTTGCCTCCGACCGAACGTTCCTCTACGTCCTTACACCGGGCCTAATAAAAGTTCACCAAAATGCCTCTGTTTTTGAAAAAATATTAGTTTTTTTTTTTTTTGACAGTTTTTTAGTATTAAAAAAATTAAATTAAATTTTTTTATTACAAAATTGCATTAAAAATAATAAAAAAGCTGTCCAACAAATTTTATTTAAGATAATTTTCTTTCTGCTTTCTAAAACTGTTGTATAGTATAAAAATTCTACTTAAAGAAATTTGTTTACTAAAAATTTATTTTATAAAGCATTATAAAAGACGTCCCAAATGAAGTCAAAATCTAAGACATTTGATTAAAGTTTTATTGATAATTTATCAAGAGTTAATTTTGATCCGAAAATATTAATTAAATTTTATAAATACAAAATTTGGATCATCCAAATTCAATTTCAACAAATTCGTATTCAAACTGAATGATTTCATGAGACAAATCAATGACACAAAAATGATTAGATATTACTCCAAATGAGCCCAAATAAAATAATTGAAATGTGGACATAAACTTTGGAACATTAATTAAATGAATTTAATTTTTTTCATGTTTATAATCAAACAAATGTTTCGATAATAAAAATCCAACAAGCTTTTTTTCATATTGGTGATGAAAATAATATTTTCCTTTAAATGATCTGTGCGATTGAAAATCCTCTTATGAAAATTTTGGGCTCAAAATGTACTGATATTTTCAATTTGTCAAAAAAAAAAAAAAATCCCATTAAATCTATCATGGAGAATAGCTAGCGGTGGCTCACTCTTCTTGTCACTTATGTTCATATTTGTTGTTCTTCAATTTCTAACATATTATTATTAATAACATCATTGATAAGATTCTATGGGGCTTGGATTCCCAATTGTCCGCTAAAATTGCAATCAAGATCATATTTTCATCAGGGGCCAAATATGTGTTGGCATTAGGGGCGTAAACGAGTCGAGTTTTGGCACTATCGAACTTGGCTCGTTAGTCGGAAAGCGAGCTCGAGTACATCACACTATTAACGAGCTCGAGCCGGCTCGCGAGCTACTTGATTATGATTAGATTTAACATTTTTCTCATTTTCCCGTATAATTTTTCATTTTAACGCCTTGTCCTTTTGTATTTCAAAAAATATAAACACTAGGATTTTTTTTGGCATGAACCTGCAACAACTCTTTTTGGGGAAAGTAATTAATAGATTTGTATTCATACTTTTTTAAAATTTCTCTCCTATATTAATGAAGATGAGGTATAGGTTGTACTATCATATAGGAACTCCTGTCATATAGGCCCAAATAGGTATATTTTTATTGAATAGCCATCCTTTTTTTAAAACTATAGGCCGAAACTCCTCTTAGCATATTTTTTTTTTTAATAAAAATACGTTCGCTAATTAATTTAATTAATTAAATAATTTTGAGCCGGCTCACGAGCCAAGCCTAAGCTCAGCTCACGAGCTCGTTAACGAGTTGAGTTCGAGTTGGCTCGGCTCACTTACACCCCTAGTTGGCATCTGTTGATGTGGTTCAAGGGCTCTTCTCCAAAAATTTGCTAATAGCCTAATAGTGCTAGTTGGAATATTCTAAAGGGTTAAACATGACAAACATTTTTTTGTTAAGGGCTTGCATGTTCAAGTTGACTGCAAATTCTATAACTTTGATTAAGAAGCCCACAAATATATTTTCTTAGGGTACCCTCAATCCTTTGGGTTGTTGAGGAACTTACTCCATTGTGACTCGTTCTTTTAGATGGAATATGCCTTAAAATTGTTAGGTTGATTCTCTATTTCTCTTAGTGGTGATGCTCATTCACTTGTTTATTTGTTATGTGTTAGTGTACATTATTTGGAAAATATCTTTATTATCAATAATAGAGGCAAGCCATAGAAGATGCAAAGCATGATATATTCATTATCAATGGTGGACTTGGCTGCATCAATGTTATTGACAAAAGTTTTGATTTCAGTTGAATTACAAGAGATCAATCAGCGGACGGTAAACATCGCTCTATAATGACCTGAATATTATCAAATGACTCAAGATGCAACATACAAGAAAAAATAGAGGTAGTTAACATAGAGTGGAGGGAGGCGACGAGATTTTGATCTATGAGCATTCATGTAGCACAAAGAAGATTGAGAAAGATCTAACAACAAATTCTACAATTATTTTGACATGATAAGTAGTGAAGCCATAAAAAACACACAATGTTTTTCATTGCTTATTATAGCAATTTCAAAAGAAAACTTTGCGCTTTAAAAGAATAAAGTAAATAAAAAAGAAAATATATATCTCTAAAATTTAGGCTTCGTTTGGAACAATTTTCTTACTGTTTTTAAAAGTAATTTTGTAATACAAAATTTGTTGAATTAAAAATTATTGTACTAAAAAAAACTTTAAAAAGCAATATCGAGGAAATTTATTTACTTTTTTTCTGGGAAAAAACAAATTAATATTAAAAGCATGATTTCGGCTGTTTTTACTGGACTACGAAAGGCCCATAATGTTTGTCAAAACTGATTAACAGAAGCCCATAAGAAACGTTTTCAGCCCATCAAGGCGAAAAAAATCAAAAAGGCTGTTCAATATGTAATTTGAGTTTAGCTTGATTAATAAATAATTTTATTTATTTCACGCTCATATTTCATTTATAAGTTTAAATAAGAACATCAATAAAAAGCCTTTATCCCACTTTGTGGGGTCAGCTACACAATTTCTTTTTATACAATGTGTCACATTAAAAGTTAAATTCTCATTTAAATGTAATACTATCATTGTTAGGTTCTAACTCCTAGATGAGAAAAATTGGAAAATTATTAGGTGTGGAGTGCGCCGTCCGCACAAGTATTGGGTACCTAGCGGTACCCAATGGTACACAGCGGTACTAAGTGGTACCTAGCTAGGTTCTCAATGCTTGTGCGGACGGTTCTCCCTGTCCGCACTCCGCACCTAATAATCTCTCGAAAATTTGAGGGTTTCATTTGATGGTCGACAGTCAGTGTAAAACTTATCGAATAATCACGATATGCAAAATGATATACACATGCGAGTAAATATTTTAAAAATCACCTAAAAATATGGCCAAGTGCAATTTTTTATTTTCCTTATTAAAAAAATGTTATTTTCATTTCTTTCCTCCCAAGTCATTCAAACCATATAGATCACAATAAAAATGTGTTATAAAAGCTTAATTGAAGCTATGAGACTCATTTTAATTTGATTACTTGGCCATTTCAAGCTCTGATATGACTCAATTAATATTGATTTTAAACCAAAATTAAATTAAATTAAAACTGTAAGTTTTTACCTGAAAAGTTTGAGTATATGACACAGTACTTAATAACTTCTCCTCAAATGAAACTTATGAGTGGATTTCAAATCAATGTGGCTAACGTTATAATAATAATAATAATAATAATAAATTTTATTTTTTCTTGAATTTAAAATTAGTTTTAC